GTAGTTGTTTCGTCTTGGCCCTTGCTTTGGCAACTCACACGCCTCAGGATTTTATGTGACAAATTTTTGTGATCACGTGTCATTGTTTGGATATATTTTAATTTATTTTCAATTTAAATATAATTAGGTTTGGCCTCGATTTCGTTATAAAAAAAATCAGCAGGGAGAGCGTTTCGAGATTTTTTTAAAAATAAAAAAATAAAAAGACAAAATAGCTCATTATATCACAATCTTTTACAAAATTGTAAAACATCGTGTTTGACTTTTACACATTGATGCAGAATATCATTAGCTTTGATTATTTTGTAAAACGATACATCAAAGTCAGAAACCGACCATTGGTGCTTACATATGCGACCAACTTTTAATTACCTGTGATTAAGGATATGATGTGTAAAATTTTGTCCTACGTGAACTTATTCTTCATCCACCCACACCAACAAAATTTAAATGCAAATGCAGTAGATAAAAAAAAAAAAAAAAATCTACAAATAACAAAAAAAAAACAAACCAAAAAATACACCTTTTTAAAAAAAATATCATGTACTCGAGGTGCATGTTAACCAACCCTTCAGCCTCAACCCTAACCTCTGCCGCACTTGTCACACCTCATTTGTACCACCCCAATCCTCGCCCTCTGCAGATCGAATTCCATCTACATGTTCTGCTGGTGGTGGTGTTGGGTTCTATGAGAAATATCATTGATATGCACATTTGAATTTAAATAATTAAATCCTAAAGCAGCAGAATCTACAGTTAGGATTAGGACTTATCATTTAAAATTTTTGCTGACTTTAAGAAATTATAGATTTCCACTGTAGGAGCGTCTGATTTGATGAGTCTTTTAGGCAGTTAGACTTGGCCTCCTCTATTGATCACTAGTCACCAGAATGTCGTCAGGTTGCGATCGGGTCACCGGGAATCGATGCACATCGAGCGCTGTCCATGTGTGTGTGCGTCGGGTATCAGGCATGCGATTTTATGTGTCGAGCGCTGCCTGCGGGTCACGTGCGTCGGGGACTGCATGTAGCTCGTGCGCGTCGTGTTCTGTCCGAGTCATCGCGTAAGCTAAAAAATACATGTTTTTCAATATTTTATTGTTTAAATGTTGTTGCATAATGCAAAATAGGGTGAATTAGCGCAAAATAACGTGAAACAGCATGTCATTTTAACATTCGCATGAGCTTTTCAGGAAAAACACTAAATATATAAAGCTACATTTCTTTTTTTATGAAAAAACAATACGAGCTATAACGAGCTACGTAGCGAGCTATTTAAAACAATGGACAATATATGCAGATAAGTAATATTTTTATTATATACATGCATACACATGGACATGGTCATGGTCAGTCCGGACTGCTGAGTCGGCCCTGAACTGGCCCGTAAGCATGGATCATTGAACCGGACCCGTGCTACAAACAGGCCAATTCGGGGTTCTGGGTACCTGTTTTCAGGCCCGACAACCCGCCAGTCCAGGCCAGGTTGGGACCCGACCCGCCAGATGGCCATGTCGTCTACATACTAGTGTTCTAGAAGTCGCTAGGCGCCCGCTAGGCGCCCGACCAGCGCCTAGAGCGCCTAGTCGGGGCCTAGGCGGCGCCTAGAAATTATAATAAATATATTATTTTTTATTTATTTTTATAATTTCACTAATAAAATTATAACTTATAATTAATAAATCTATACACCTAAGTCCCAATAATATTATTAATATTATATTATAAAAAAAATTCCAAGTCAAAATAAGTACATAACCATAATATAACTTCTTCTCATTGTAATTTTATCAAACACATTATCTACATGTTATGTTTTAAATATTACACAACAAAAGATAAATATAAAAAATTATAAAATAATATTATTATAAGATTTATTATTTAAACTAAATGCATTTAGTAAAAAAAAATTAAAATCGTAAAAACCGCCTAGAACCCGTCTCGGCCGCCTAGTCCCGCCGAAACCGCGTAGCCGCCGAGGCCGCCTAGCTCCGCCTAGGCCCGCCTAGGCCTGACTAGGTGCCGCCGAGCCCGCCCGGTCAATTTTTATGGTCGATTTGGCCAAATCGTAAGCGTTGTATCGGCGCCTAGCGCCTAGACAGCCGCCTAGGCCGATTTTTCGAACACTGCAGTACATACACACCAAATGAAAAATGGTTGACGTCGATCAAGAAATAGACTTTGACTTTGAGCATAATTAAGATAAAAAAACTTTTTATTATGAATACCGTTTTGACTTCAATTAATACTAATTAGTACTTTTTGAATTCAAATATTAAATATATTTGACACGGTTTTGACTTATATTTATGAGTTTCATGGTGGCACGCAAACAATCTTGAACAATTTTTTGCCATTGCAAAAGGTGAGATGCGGCGCGCACTAATCGTTAAATATGAAGGGAAGTGCCTCTCCATCTATTGTCAAAGGCTACTGTGTGCTGTGGATCTTAGGCGCAATTATGGTAAAAGATAAGATTACATATAAAATTAATCAAATGAAAGCTGATTAGAAAGGTCTCTACGAAAAGTGAAATTGGTATGCCTACGTGGAAGCCTAGTGTACACCAATTATACTTAGTTAATTACAATCCGCCTCTCCTATTTT